AACAAATTCTTTCATTTTTTATCGTACATTATACTGTCGGTGTTGTATTTGTTAATGAATTATTATTATTGAATTAACATGTTAGCGAATAATGATTTTAATTGAAACCTTCATTATTAACCATTTTATTTAATCAATTTAAAAACCGATAGGAGCCAAGAGGGGGGGGGGGGGCATTAATTCGTGAACATAACTTCGTTGTATAATAAATAATTCAAGGTCATTTCAAGATCAACTTCATTTGCTTAAACGGAATCATATAGTTTTTTTTTTAACATAAACAGATTTTAACATAATATAAATCGATTTTCTTTAATATAAATCGATTGCTCTGTTTATTCTGCGTATAAAAGTATTAAAGTAAAATCGAAAAGTGAATACTACTCGAAACATTTTACTTTTCATTTTCATATTCCTTAGTATAAGGTACGAAATGTTTCATAAGATATTAAATTCTCGATAACATTGAATTAATATTTTTCTACATAATAATATAAGAGAAAGCATTTATTGATGTTTATCTGCATATTAGTGTATAGATGCAATTACAAAATGCAATGAATTAAAAAAATTTTTTATATTTACTTGCGATCGATTTCATCTGTGATTCTATATACAAAAAAGTCAAAGTAATGTTATCGAAAAATGAATATTTTATAAGAAATTTCATATTTTATATTGAAAAATATCAGAATGAAAAATAAAATATCTTGAAAAGTGTTTACTCTCCAATGACTTTACCCTGTATTTTTATACGCAGAATGAATAAAGAAGTCGATTTATGTTAAAGACTACATGATTCTTTTTAAAAAATGAAGTTGACCTTGAACTATTGACTAAACAACAAAGGTCAACTTATATTCCCCTTTATATAACTTTTGCTCGGGAGATTTGTTTGTATCTTGCTTTATTTTTTATATATTTAGGCTCCTAAAGTTAAGTAACTCACTCTGTGTAATTTATATACTAGTTATAAAAAGTACTGGAACCCCAGAAGATCTCGGAAAGTAACGAATAAAAAAGAAAGTTTAAATACGAAATTTGCAGGAATTAAAGAGGAGCATTAGATGATGACATTGGCGGCCCCAGCATAGAAGTTAAATTTAGAGGTCATTTTAAGGTCAACTTGAAATTTTTAAACGGGAATCAATATTTTTGACTTCAAAAATGAAAAGAGCAGGAAATTTTACGTTCAGATATGTTTTCATGTCACGGGTCAAATTGACCCGCAAGCGTCATTTCGAAGTCAAATAAATTTACAATACTAATTTTTTAGGAAAGCAATTTTGAGGAAGTACGAAATTAGCAGGGTTTAAAAAGAGACATCTGATGATTATCTTGCCCCTGTGTAGAGGTCAAATTGAAAAGTCATTTCAAGATCAATTTAAAATTTTTTAATGGGAACTGTGATTTTTAACTCCAGAAATGAATAGAGCAGAAAATTTTACATTAAAACATGGGGTGATGTGTAGAATCACATTGATCCCTAATGGTCATACAAAGGTCAACTTTTTTAATATAAAAATTAAATTTGGCAAAATAAGGATGAAAATTGTTTGCCAGTTAAAGTTTCAGGAAATAATCCACTCGATGAAGGCAAGACCAGTTAGTCAATCCAGTTAATGAAGGCAAGACACATGAGTGATTCAGTGATATACCTTGTATAGAATGTATACAAATATATATATTAGGTGTACAAATGATAAATCAAAATTTTTCAGCTAAATTCAAAATTTATTTTAAAAGAAAGTAAAACAAAATTTTCAATCCAAATATTCGCCGTTGCTTTCTATAACTTAAAGTCATCTTTCAGCAAGCTGATGAATTCCATCTCGGAAAAATGCTGTGTCTTTAGACACAATAAAATCGTCGAGCCATTTTTGGATCTCATCCACTGATTGGAAGAGAGTATCGGACAAAACGTGTCCCATCGACAAAACAAGTGCTAATCGGATGGAACAATGTCTGGTGAATACGCCAGCAACTGCAAGACGTCTCAGCTAAGATTCATTATGGTATCTTTTGTCTTGGAAGCAATATGTGGCCTGGCGTTGTCAAGCAACAATTTCACAAGACGTTCTTCTCTGCCAGTATATGGGCGTTTCTATTCTTGAGTTAAATGGATTAATTGGCGTTGATAGTAATCCGCAGTAACTGTTTCCAACAGCTCATAATAGAGCATACCCTTGATATCCCGCAAAATGCAGAGCGGAACCTTCTTTCCGAAGCGATTGGGCTTTGCGATCAATGTTGATGGTTCGCCGAGATTTACTCATGACTTTCTGCGTTTCGGATTGTCATAGAATATCCATTTCTCATCGCCCGTAACCATTTTCCACGAAAAAGACTTTTGACGCTGCTTATTGAGAAGAAAAAGACACTGCCACTCATTGATTTTTATTGGCTTCAGTGAGTTCATGCGGAATCCATTTTCCTTCTTATTGGATCTTACTCATTTCATGTAGGCGTTTGGAAACGGTTTGCTGCATTACTCCCAACTGCTCTGCAAGCTCCTTTTGCGTTTGTGCCAAATTCTCAGCGAGCGGTTGTTCCAATTCATCGTTGTCGCATTTTCGAAGGCTTCCAGGATGTTGTTTGTCGATCAGATTGAAATCACCGCTTTTAAACCGCTTAAAGCAAAATGCGCACACAACGTACGATACAACACTTTTTCCGAGAAAGGAACAAATCGATTCACATGATCTTGCAGCATTTTTCCTTGTTGGAATTCATAAAGAATACAGTGTCGGATATGCACCTTTTCTGTGCCATGTTTGACTTTACTGAACTGAATATTTTTGAAGATTATGTTGGGCCTTTCGTCATACTAAATGTCATTTTTAATAGCTATATGTCAACACTACATAACCGTAAAAGAGCAGAAAAATCAATTGATTTTAAAATTAATTTCTTAACTGCTTAAAAACATTTGGATTATTCATTTGTACACCTAATATATATACAGGATCCTTCAAAAATATGGAAACAGTTAAATAACTCGTTAGGGATGCATTTTAGAAAAAAAAAATGTTACAAGAGAAGTTGTTCGGTTCCAAAAAACTTATCTAATGGTTAAAGCCTATTTGGACCGCGGCTCAAAATTTAAGCCCTATGAAAACCAAGTATATCTTTTTAAATGGTAATGCCAGCTTTTTATGGCTGATTCGTGTTCCTGACGATTTTTTCTTTCCAAAGATGTGGCTTAAGTTGGATTAGGCCCCAAATTTGAGTCTCACTAGATCTAAATCCTCTAAAGGTAGGAGGTGGTTGAATAACTCGTCAGGGATTTCATTTATGAAACAAACGGTGATGTCAGCTACAAGAATATATAATGAAATATATGGGTTCTCATTTAACACGTTAACTGCCACGTGCATTTCGGAGGAAATCTCCGTCAGGCCACGCGCGCTGCTTAGAAGTGCGCTGGTATTGTGGTATAGCAATGCCAAGCGCAATAAAGCTTCAGTAAAATCCATTAAAATTTGTTGATAAGAAATATTTAAATACATTAATGATACGATCCTGAAATTACTTAAAATTTATTAAAACTATGTAATTTTTTTAGTTTTATATCGTATTTTATACTGTCAGTCACGGGTGACTGACGCGGTCTGAACGGAAGTTCAGTATCAGTCACTGGTGACTGACGTGGCAGTTAACGTGTAAGAAATTCAAATCGACCTTGACATAACTTTCACGATGTCACCCAAAGTCAATCACATGTGCCCATGTAATGCATTACTTGATCCCTAACAACTTTTGTCTGAAACAATTTTCAAAATAACCATTTCCCTCGTTTTTAAATGAGGTGTACGGGTGTCCTGAAACACCTGGTGTGTGTGTGTGTGTGTGTGTAATTATATTTAATTAAATATGGGAAATTTGTTCCCAGGATATGACAGAGACATATACTCAATATATTACATAAAGCATTATAAACTTGTTATGTACCATGTAACTTAAAAATGTTTTAATAAATATAAATCTCAGATAGATATATTTCCGTGTATTGTCTGCATCATGACTAACATAAGTAGTCCGAGAGTACGTTAAGATATGTTCTCATATAACAAGGATTTTGTCAGTATATAAATGAAGATAATATGATGCCGTGAAAATTACGGCACTATTCTGAGATCATAAATATTGCTGCTTATTTTGCCTAGAAGAAAACGCAATTAATCCAGAATTATTGTAGTAATAAGTCGATACTTTGATTAAAATTGTGGTATAATAAATGATTATATCTTAAAACAATATTTAAAACATAGTTTAAACATGTTATGTAATGACATTATAAAACATACATACATTAAATGTTTATATATTATGTTCGGTCTATCCAGCATGATGTAGTCCAAGTTTTGGTGTTATTGAACAGAGTATTTTCTGTTAGTCATAAAACCTGTTAGTCAGAAAAGAGTTCGTGGAAACCATTGCGTCAAAAAGTTATGGAAGAGTTTATTCTCTGTGTGAATTCCAAGTCGATCATAATGCGGCCGAAGCACAAAGAAAACATTAATATAATATTTGACGATGTTATGAATGATTAGAGCACTAGGTGTTAGTTTGCGAAGCATAGGGCTGATGATATAAATCTTGATAATTGATGATACGATTTTAAAAAAACATGGTCGATTTTCATCTAACAATTCAAAAAATCGCCGAGAGAACCATTACTCAACAGTTTCTTAATATCTAAAAACTTTAGGGAAAATAAATAAATGATACAGATGGTCGTATTTGAACTTACCGAGAGAGACATGATTCGGCATTTAGAGATCAGCTTCTTCTTTGCTTTCCTGATATAATAATGGCGGGATTTTAAATAGAATTGTTACATGTGACCAAACATACGGGATCTGTAAGAAATGAAAGAAATCGATTAACAATACTGTTCATGGCACGTTAGTGCATCAATGCATTTGCAAATGCATTGCAACGGTTTTATTTTTTAAGTTTTCTTCATGTTTTACATTCATTTATCCCACCCGTAATTCTACAAAAATATTAAGATGAGGTTATCAAAAAATAAATATTTTACGAGATACTTTATTGAGAGACACGGTAGTGTCTCGCGCCAAGTATATGCGAATCAAAACTCGTATAAATTTAAGCTACGTTTCGGAGAGGTGATCAGATGATCGTACCGTCGGTTATAATGGTTAATCGGATTAAATTCTGAGTAAGTTCAGCCGAAACAATTTAACGTTAGATTTTAACGTTAGATTTTAGTTTTCTATTTATCACTATTGATAATACTAAATGATACTTCTACACCTGGTAATTTCATAATTTTTTTTTATTTTTCGGTTAAAGTTAATCGTCCTCGCTTACATTAATACGTATATTGTAATATGCAAAAATGTTTAATTTGCAATCAGTAACAAATATAATACTAATAAATTTTCAATAAAACGGTGATTCCGGGATCCTCTTAAACTTCTTGATGTTGGGTTTTTTCAGTTCACTTGTGCAGTTTAAATGCTAAAAGCAAAGGGGTCAAGTGATAAAATTTCATGAATAAAATGAGAAAATTATATGAACCAATTTTTTTTAATCACGTAATAAAATTATTTGGAAAATCAAACAAATATTACTAAAGAAATAATATTTATTGATTGAAATATTAATTTGTTTGAATCATTTCAATTAGATGAATTTAATAACATTTACTAAACCTAAAAAATCATTTCCTCTGTATATAGCTGATAAAAGCACATCAAAAAATATTTGATGGTGACGTTATCTTTTTGAGATATTAAACTGTCATTTTTATATCTTGAAGACATTAGTTAATGTTGTTATTTGTAGTCAATGAATGAAAAAAATTTAAACGTTAAAATAATGTGAACTTATTACCTGGATATAAAATAATATAATTTGCTATATTCTTTTAATTCTCATTCAAATATTATCTAGATTTTGTATATCTGTAAAATATCACATAGATGGATACTCACACATCTGCTGTATATCTACCAGATAACTGAGATTATTTTGGGATGTTCTATAGTTATTGCAATATCTCAAATATTTAGAATGTTCTGCAGAGAAAGTGCGCTACGCAGATCCTACACCCAATTAATATTGGAGAATTGTATATATATTAACATAAAATTTCTACTCTCATAATTTTTATATGTTCATCATAGTTGTGTTTATTTATATTTAGTTTAAAATTTATTATGTGCTAGTAATATATATATATATATAAAAGCAGGAATAAGAATTTTCTAACCTATATCATAAGATGATGAACCAAAAGAAACAGAAATACTAGAAACAGTCTCGAAACTGGAACATCGATAATTTAACTGTAGTCATTTATTGATAAGTCATTTACTAGCTTTTACTTTATACAAGTGCAAAGTATCATAACCTTTAAATTACTAAGAATATAAAAATAATTATGTAGCATAAAGTTGTATTATTATTGAAATATAAAAAATTAGTATAACCATTAAAATTATAATTAAACTAAATTATGCGAAGTATTGATGATCTGATATTACAAATATTTATTCAAATTCTTAAATACATAAATTTAAAACTGTTTGAAGAAAAACACCTAAATTATAAATAAGCTATAAAATATAATTTATTTTCATTAGCAGAAAATAAACAAAAAGGAAAAGTACTTTCCCAATTTTTTATATTAGACTAAGAAAAACATATATAACCTATACAAGCTTGCTAGTAGTCTATCTTTCAAAACTCTGCTTCTATTCTTACATTTACAATGTTATCGTAAAAAAAAACAAATTCTTCTATCTAATGCTGTCATCAAATCCATTTATAACCGAGTCTAATACGCTCATATATGGAATAGTTTAACTGAATGATTTTTATTTAATAAATAACATATTAGGTAAATAATCTATTATATCACAAACACATATAATTGGAAAATTTATAATTATTTATTATTATTTATAATTAATTATTATTTATATTTATTAAATACATACTTCTGTTACGCGGTTAACACTTTGAACAAAATTCACATATCATTCCACGTTCCTGCATATTCCACACAGTTCCAAAACTAGTTATAAGTAGAGGTCTATTTATTCCAGAAATAAGGTTGCATTGAAACTTTGTTCCTTTTGAAAGATTTTAATCGCATTTGACGTCTGACTTAAGACGTCCGATATCCAATAGGAGAATACGTTTTCTAGAAACAAAAATGTTAGTAACTAGGACCCTAAAAAGTAAAATCTATTATGTCGTTTCCAATTTACTGCGGCTGCCTTTTTATGCGGCGTAACTTGCATAGCATAACTTGTGTCAATCAATCAAATCCGCCGTAGTAATTGGTAATTGGATAATTGAAACGATTTGATTGGCTGATGCAAGGTACGCTTATGCAAGTTACGTTGCTTGGAGAGGCAGCGTGAGTCGATCTAATTTGGGCAGTGTTCCAGTAATCTTTGCTGCACTGCAATCTATAGTTCAAGTTACGAATATTATAGTTTACAATATAGTAAAGCCCATATTAGACTACAAATTGGAGATTGAAAATGAATTGATTTCGGCCAATCAGTACAAAGCTAACCGTTGAACTTAAATTTAGTGAAATTTAATGAACTTTACACTGATTGGTCCAATTTCAATTCAATCTCAATCTCTAATCCATAATCTGATACGGGCTTAACGATTAACGGGACGCTGCCTGAATTGGATCGAGTCATCAAATAGAAAACGTCATTAGAGATTGAATGGATCCTCGAAAAGGGGAGGATTCCGATTGGCCACAGTGCCATTGATTACCCTCAATCACAACTACACGTGATTTAGTGATTTTCTTGTGCCGTCCAATCGATGTAGTCTGTGGTTAACAGAGACGTGGGCTGTGTCCCCTTTGGGCGCTCACGCGCTATAAATTCCAAATCAGACTATGGATTAGGGATTGGGATTGCGGATTGGAAATCGACCAATGAAGTCACAATAGGTCTGGAGTGGGATCGTGAATCATTATTAAATATGGATATAAATTGAAAGATGAGTTTGGAAATCAGATTGGTACATGGCTCAACATTTTGCAGGCTACAATTGAAAGTATATATTGGAATTTAGACTTTATTTTATTTTCTTGATATTTTCATAATATGAGTCAATAGTCGCCGACTATGTCGATGGCTCTAGTGTGGACTGCAATATAATAAATGTACTGTGTACAAATGTTTCTAGGAATAAGAAAAGTATATACATATGGCAAAATTTGTTGATAATACATGCGAGAAAGATCGTATATTTCTAATTGTGCAAAAAATTGATTGATAACACAGGTCTACAAGGTTCAGATACAAGAAAGAGAATAGTGACTTCCTACGAAATTTTCGTCGCTGAATCCGAATCCGTCAGCGAAAAATGTCCATCAGATTTTTAAGATAAATGAAGTAATATGGGACAAGAACAGTGATTTTTATCATTTTCAAGGCGTTACTATGGCTCACCAAATTATCCCAAGCAGCACGTGAACGTTCGAGGAACGTCCGCTTTATTGCCGTTTTATTGCGGTTTTTATTGTTTGTCAATTGTTTTTTACTGTTCGACGGTCGATTTACCGTACGGATACACCGTTTATTAACCGTTTATTTGCACGGGAGGAGGTGAACTCGGATCGCCGGGAACGTTAACCGTCACGAGCAAGCAAACGCGGACCACCGCGGATGGGTGCTGTGGGCCGTTGGAGGGTGCAGACCACTTGAGAGAGATATCGACCGCTGGAGAAATATCGACTGCTGGTGGGTACCGATGGTCGGTAATACAATGCCTGACATCAGTCCTTGTGCGTGACGTCCCAGCGCTCCCACAAGTTCCCCCTTCCTCCATGTAACGTCAGCCCCAGCGCCTTGTAGTACCCCTTCTCCCGCATGACATCGGTCCCCGCGCCATACGATATCCCTTTTCTTCGCATTCCCCTGTCACAGAATCCATTCTATATACTTAGTTACACGAACTGAAATTTTTTCGTGTAATAATATTACCTAACAGCGCGCTTCTACGTTAGTTTAGTAGCATAAAAGTCAAGTAAAGGAATATAAAGCTAAAACATGTAGATCTTCTTTGTTAATGATTTATTGATTTATTGATGTCATTCACGATCATAACAGAGAGCACTGCATACTTGAATACATAATATAGATATCATACTCGTTAGAAAAGTATACACATTGTTTCAATAATTATATTATTATTACTCGCCTATAAATCAACTACATGCAAATATGATCGCTTCCATAATTAGGGTAGATTTTAAACTAAATACTTGTCTTTTGTTCTTCAACGTAAATGTTAATAACGTGTAAATAATGTAACTATCAATATATAAATATATATATATATATAGGATATTACATCAACATATAGGTCAATACAACAGGTTGCCTACTTACTTCATTGAGAGGCGTGCTCCAAGATTTTGCAGGAACTTAGCGGTATACACGTTTGCAAAACGATTTATACATTTTTCACATTTTTATTGGAAAAAATTAATATAAACCGTTTTGCAATTTAATGTGACATACGGAGTTTATCTCCGAGCGGGCGTGTCTACTAATGAGGCAAGTAGAGTAATTCGCTTTATTGATCTGTATGTCGTTGTAACTATATATATGTTGTTGTAACTATATATTCATTTGCCTATAGTTTGTTCTGTTGACGCTTTTAGATAAACATGTGGGAGATTTGTTTATCGTTTTGTAATCTAACGCACAATTTTTATTTGCGTTTTGTATAGTCTATATTTTATAATTCATATATTATTTGATCGAATATATACAAAGTAATTCATTTTAATATTTTCAGGAAATTATCTCGGAAAGGAAACATTTTTGAAAAAAAAGATTTAATATTATAATAATCTTATAATAATAATATCAATAATATCCGTTTAACTTTGAATGACTTTCCCAAAGTCAGGTCAAGATCAAAATGAATTTTCTAAATGAAATTGTATAGTTTTTAACATAAATCGATTTATCTGTTCATTCTATGTATAAAATTATTGAATATAAAGTAAAATTTGGAAAAGCGAAGGTTATCCAAGATATTTTACATATTACATTAATATTTTTCATTACAAGATATAAAACATCTCACAAAATATTCACTTTCCTCTTCTTAATCTTTTTAAACGTAGATTAGCTAGAGAATCTGTCAATAATACTGATTCTTGTTTATTGGTATATCAATGCATCTGTAAAACGCAACGGAATTTTTTAAATTTAAGATTTCTCTATTCTTTTTTACGATATTCGATTTCATATATCATTCTACATACAAAAATAGTAATGTAAGATTTTCGAGAAATGAATATTATATAACATAATTAATATCTTGTATTGAAAAATATCACACAGTAAAAAATGTTGTATTAAAAAGTACACAAATCTCCATGTTAAAGTAATACAAAATTTCAATAAACTGTTTTTAACATAACATTTTTACTGTGCAGTGTAAATGTAAAATATCTTGGAAAATGTTGACATTTTGAAGGATTTACAGTATTTTATACGCAGAATGAATTGAGGAATCGATTTATGTTAAAAAATTATATAATTCTATTTCCATTTAAGAAATTCAAATTGACTTCAAACTGGCTTTAACAAAACCATTTATGATCAGATAGATACTACTATTAGATTCATCTTTTTAAATTTTACAACGTTCGCTCGAAAATTTGTTTTCAAACATCCTTCCTTCTCGAAATAATTACCCGATAGGTTTAAAATGAATATTTTGTAAATCCGAAACAAATAAATATTCGCATTTTCAATTGAAATATACATGATAAAAATTGAAACTTCAAATTATAGAGAATATCGTTTCCTGAAACAATTAAAAAATGTATTAATGTCACGTACAGTTTGTACGTCAGCTCGCCTTATGTCACGTCTTTTGTTAGCACATATTCTTCCAATTCATGTAAATCGCTATTCCTAATATGGAACGACTGTCTTATCCATTGAAGTTATTTGAGAAAGCTCAGTCATGTGGCAAAATGACCCACTTGTACGAAAAATACAGCATTTTTCTTTCATTTTCATTTATGGGCATCGCTGGAACAATGGAGTAGATAGAACATTTTTGAGGATTTCGGAAATTGTTCCTTATATTAATTTACAGGCAGGCATAGTCGAAATATATTGACTCGAAACAGTGGGATATTCTACGATTATTGTCGCGCACGCACGCTTGTACGCAAATCGAAGTTTCTACATGTACTAAGCACATAATTGGAACGAACTATTCTTTCAATTTTAACTATGGCTACTACATCGTTTATTTTGTTGGCACATTCTTCGCTAATCGATATATGTCACTCGAAATATCACCAGTTTTGGTATTACCTTCTTCAAATACTTATATATAATTTGTATATAATATATAATACTATATATATAGAGATATGTTACCTATACGGCATAACTTGCAGCTCTTCCTTTGCGCGATCGAGAACTCGATCACGAGACAGATAAAACTTAAATTCAGACAGATGACACAAGAGAGGGTACAAAACGAAAATAACTAATATCATATGCTGTGGACATACTATATCTTCATTTCTCATCAAATTGACGGGAATATATCGAGGTTTCAATTTCTCTCTGTATCCATCCATTTTCCAGAAACGCCCATTCTTTTAAGATCTCAAATTTTCTCCATATATTGTATTAAATAAATTAAATATTATTATAAATGACTCTTTCTCACATAAGTTTCAAAAATATAAGTAAAATTTATATACTCATTAAAAATATTTGCAAATCTAATCAAGGACTCAAAATTGAGACAAATTGGAAATTTGTTCATATTATAAACTCCTTTAAAAACGTTATCTTAATTATATCCTTAAACATATGCATATATATATAAGTCATATATCTGCAATATAACAAATTATAAGAAGACTGCATAGAGTTTCCGTTCTTTGTTTTCTTACGATATAGTTACTTATACAATCTAAAAAGGTATATGTGTCGTTTATTATCGAGTTCACAATTAATAGTCGCTAGTCAGCTGCGAACGTGCACACACGTGTATACAAAGCAACTGT